GGGTTTGGGGTTGGGGGTTTAGGGTCTAGGGTTCAGGGTTGTGGGAACCCTAAACCCATTTAAACTCCCTGCAACCCTGAAGCTATAACCCCCGAAGACCCTTACGAAGTAAACCCGTAACCCAGAGAGGCGTTCGCCTAAAGCTCTTAGTCCTGGCATAACACAACAAAGTTGCGAGGTCCAGGGTTTAGAGTTGGGGTTGACGGTTCAGGGCTTACGTCTTGGATTTAGTGTTAAGAGTGTAACTTTCCGCCTGGGCAAGAGCGCTTGAAACCTACAGCCCGAATCCGAGGGAAGACCTCAAGCCCGGCAAGACCGACACCTTTCAAGCGAAGGGATGCCCAAGCTGGCTTCTTGATAATTTAACTTACAATACTGGGGATCTACCGTCAATGTGGTTTCCTTGTTATGGCCATGTAGAGTAAGTTCCTGAAAAGGCATCCTGCAAACTCCGTGTAACAAAAAACGATAACTCAAGCAATGGGCGTTGGACCCCCTGCTGGGTGTCGGCCGCAACCAAGAAATCACATGTACATGTACTTTCGCCTATATGGGGGTTTCCGAGAATTGGCGACCCTAATATACTACCCTAATTTTTGGAAACCCCCATATGAGTAGTTCTGTAAAAGGTCGCTGTTCGGAAACCCCAATATAGTACGGTACGCGTGTAAACACAGAATCCCTCGAGGCCGATGGAGTTCTGAAGCCCTGCGCGAGAGCTACCCACGCCCTGATCCGTAAACCATCATCCTGAGGACCTAAAGCCTACTATGTATAGAAGGGCCTTCATAATTACCTATGCTATTTTGGGGGCTCTTTATTATAGGTGTAGAAGAATATACCCCGAAACCCTATCCTAATTATTTAGATTTAGGCTCCGACATGAGCTCAAACCACTAAACTAAAACCTAAGCTCTAGGCACTACGTCTAGGACCCTTATACCACCTCTATAGCGACGGCCGCGAACAATTATCGCGAAAGCAATCCGTGTGGGTGTGGAACGGTTAAGCGAGCCCTGAAAGGACCCCTACACTCCACGGTTCCTTATGGATTCTGCAAAGGATCCCCTAAAAGGAACCCTTAAACGAGCCCTCACAGGGACCCTTGTCCTAAGCCTTACAGCAACCCTTAAAGGACCCTTTAGTAACCCTTATGTAGGCCTTAGAGTGAGGCTTGTGGGGACCCTAAAAAACTGCCTCAGCGAGGACGTCCCACTTTGCGCCGCCACGGTATGTTTTCGCGGGCTCGGGGAACCTCAAAGCAGCAACAAGGGTTGCATAGTGGTGTTGAAAAGGATTTCTAGAGCTTTACAAGGCAACTGTTGTGGTTTGTAACGGTGTGATACGCGTTTTTGTATGGATACAGGATTTTGTGTTGTTCTACTGTCCCTTGACAGGGTGCTATGAGGTTTGATACGTGCTGATATGAGTCTTATAAGGGTGTTAGAGCGTTAGGAGTAGGGGCCTTAATGATTTCGAGACGGTTCTGAGGGATGGCATGTCATTATGTAAGGACTACAAGGGGATAATGTAATTGGTTGTTCAGGCCCCTATATCACTTCATGATAGGTAGGGCGTCAGGATATAAGGTGCCGGTTTGTCCATCAAAATGAGAGGCTGAGGGTTTGGGGGTTTTAGTGCTTTAGGTTTTAGGGCTTCAGGGTTGGTGTAATGCAAATTCGGTTACTCTCGCATAGTCTCGGACGATGCCACAGGAACACTTGATGTAGTGTTCTCGTGACCCTGTTCTCAGTACTACAGCTCTTCTGGCTACCGAGGTTGTCCAGATGAGAGCCGCCTACTACTAGCCTATATGAAGTGAGGTCTGTGTGATAAGTCCCATACGGAATAAACTCAGCGACATTCCTCAGGAGCCCCACATACTGTGCCCAAATCCTAAACAGAACCCTTGCAGAGCGCTTATAAGCCCCGTAAGGCGTCCTGCACCCTGAACCTCGAAGAACCTCAATGCAACACCCTAATGTCATACCCCTACTTCATGTTTGCATCGGATTCATAACCCTAAGCCCTAAAACCTAAATGGGTCAGGGCTAACGTAACATTGACCATGCTGGTTCAGTGATTCAGGCTGAGATGAGGATCCATCGGTCTAGGGTTCGGGCCTATGTAGGGTTTAGGGGTTTCGAAGTTCTGGGAGGGTCTAACCAACCTAGCACTATACCGAGCAGGCTGCTGCTTTACGGCATTCCCGTTTCGAAGCGGGCTGGCGGTGACATCTCTCCACCCAGATCAGAACGCTAGCCGCAATGCTGTTGTTACCACAAGGCCTGCTCGACTTCACGACTCCAAATCCACAACCCCCCCCCCCCCACATAACCCTGGACCGGCAAATACAAGCTTTCTGAAGCCGCTGAGCCTAACCGAAACCTCTTTCCACCCCCCTGGTGATGGAAAGCCAGAGACCCAAAGCCCTGAACCCGAGGCTTTCTGGTAAGACAGCGATGATGCTGTGGGTTTCGACTTGGGGTGTTGGGAAAACATCCGCAGGCAGGAGATTCGGCCTCTGAGAATAGGGTTCCTTCAAGGATTCCTTTGAAAGATTCTATACAAGTTAAAGGTTGTGCAATCCAGTGACCTGTGCGTAATAATTAGAGTAGGGTTTTGGGGTGGATGCTACGAAAATGATATGGGGGCATCCTCCCTAAACCCTAAACCCTAAACCCTAAACCCTAAACCCTAAACCCCCAAACCCCTAAACCCTAAACCCTAAACCCGCCCCTATGAAATTTACCGACTTCGGCTTGGAATCGTCGTGCGGCTCTTTTTGCCGATCGAGGCGAAGGCTGGCACAAGAGGAATCTGTTGACATCTGGGGGTTTCCGAAAATTAGGGGTACCTTATTTTGGGTGGGTTTAGGGTTTAGGGTTTTAGGGTTTAGGGTTTAGGGTTTAGAGTTTCCGAAAATTACGGGTACCTTATTTTGGGGTCCTTATATAATTAGGATCCTATTATTTAGGGCACCATATTAGGGTCCGCTATTTTCGGAAACTCCCATCTGGGCTTGGAGTTTAGGGCCTGAGGGGTCCGTTTAGGGTTTAGGGTTTAGGGGGCCATGCGTTTAGGGTTTAGGGGGTCATGCCCTACCCCTGTCTTTAGACTTGGGGTACCCAGTTTTACGTTCTATGGGTGTTAGGGTATGACCTTCTAGATAGGATCCGGAAGCTCTGCGATCTTGGAAAGCCTAAAGCATGGAAGCGTAGGCCTCAATCGGCAGACTGATCTCGTCAAAGGTCAGTCAGCAAGAAGGCACTGAGGCGTGCGCCGGAAGGAGATGCGCTTGACCTGAGCGATGGCAAGAGGTCCCTGGTTAAAGGGATCCCGAAGCAAGGGCCATGCTTAAGGTGGAGAGTGTAAGTCTATCGGATAAGTTTCAGAGCTTAAAACTACCTCAGATCCTGGCTTCAGGGTCTCGGATTAGGGTTTCGATGATCATACACATCAAACGCAATGATGCTTGAAATCACTGGACCGGATGTGCACTCCCGGCCACCCTGAATGTCCTCAAGCCCCATAGCCTTTCCTGCTTAAAGCTGTCAACCCAAGCCCTGTACTCTGGCAGGTCCCGACCCCTGAGAATGCACATCTATACGTAGAAAGATTGTTATTCTCCGTACCATCACAATGAAACAGGGTGTCATCAAAACCCACATGTAGACCCAGCTATACTCAACAATATCTCTTTGTACGCTCACCGAAATCCCGAATAGATAACTTGGACAGAACCTTCGTAGAGCACATACTATATATATCTACCCGTTACAAACACACACAGACACACAGACACACAGACACACATACATGCATACATACATGCAAACATACATACATACATACATACATACATACATACATGCATACCTACGTACATACAT